TTCTCCTACAAATTCCCCTAGCTGTAAGCCTTCCAATCTTCTAAATATTCCTTTATATGTAGTTCAGAGTTGTAGCACCATCCCCTGAGCCTGCTTGGCCTGGTATTCTGTGTTGTTGGTGACGGAGCTCCTCACTGCATGCCCACCTGATCTGCCATCTTGATTGTATCCATCTTGGAAATCCTTTATAGGTTGTTGGTTGGTGGAACACTTCAAAGGAGCCCTGGTAGTTGTAGGGGTTTGATATCAGTTGGAAATTTTAACCCTCTTTTTTCTAATAAATATATTTAAGGTGTATATATCCCTTTGAGTAGTACTTGGGCTGTTTTGTCACAAGTAATGTTATAGAGCTTTATTTTAATACCTGAAATTTTTCATAAGTTGAATATATTGTATTATTTTCTTATAATTAGATATGTAGGAATCCTGTTGTGCTGCTGTAGGTTAAGCATTAGACTGCTAATCACAAGCTTGGAGTTTAAACCCATCAGCCACTCCTTGGAAACTCTATATAGGGTTGCTATGAGTCATAATTAACTCAATGGCACACAACACCAACAATTACATATGCATATATATGTGTATGAGAGGTTTCAAACAGTTTGAGGAAAAATGGAATGAAAAGATGATTGGATATTTCCATGATTTTTTTGAAACCATCACATACAAAGAGAGATAAACAAACTCTTATTGTTTTAGTTATTATTTTAAGTACCTTCGAGTTGATTCTGACCTATAGATACCATGTATAGGGTTTCTGAAGAATGACTGGTGGGTTTGAACCACTGACTTGTGGCTAGCATTCCAGCGATTATCCTACAGCACCACATCAGGACACCATAGAAGCATGAGTGAGTGTAAAGCCTTATGTTTCAGTATAAAAACAGAGAGTTTCTTAGAGGATGTCAGAGTACCAGGGTGTTTTGTTATGTTTTGCTTATTAATGATAAGAAGAAACATGAGCACACTTAACTTCTAGAGAGACTTGAGTTTTTTCCTAAGAATGAAAAACATTTCTGTGAAAAAGTCCATCAGTATAATTGGCAGACTGTAATATCCAGATATTATCCAGGAAAACCCAACATAAGACATTTGGTATCAAGAGTAGTTCTAGGGTTTTGTTTAATTGGTTCTCAAATCTGACTACATTTAAAGGCACTGATAATTCTGCCTCCACTAGTCAAGAGAGTGAGGGTGCTACTAATCCATGGCGTCAGGTGGCAATATTAATATATACAATATCACTAGCCCCTTAGGTATTGAAGAATAGCTCAATCTCATCCTTATCTCATAGCTACTCAGATTCAAAAATGTATGGGCATCCCAGAGAGGGATAGGGGCTGTGTGCTGATAACCGTGGGCAGGCTTGAGGGGTATACCCTTATTGGGTGATAATACATGCAGGGCATTGTAACCATGGCAATGAAACGACATAAGATAGGATGAATGTAAATGCTAATGATGTTGTCCCATGTAGACTATCACGTAATTCACAATCAAACATTAAAAAAAAAAATCTATGGGCAGGAGCTGCCAGGACTTTGCCTAAAATTCACTCGTATTAGCATGAAATTTTCCAAAGATCTGATGTTAAATGACTGTTTCAGGAAAATAAGACTCGGTCAACAAGAGGTCTAAATTATCACAATTGATTTTCTCCCACAATTCTAAATTAGCTAAACAAATCTAGGCATAAGTATATTTTACTTTTATCAAAAGGAATATGGGAATCAGCAATTGACAACCCCTTCATTATTGTCCACTCTGTCTCGTGTTCTCAAAGTTACTGTGGACTTCCTTAATATTACCAAGGATGCCCCTATTCTGTTACCACTTTAACTACTTGAGGCTCAAAAACAACAATTCAAGGATATTCAATTTCTTTATAAAATAAAAAATTATAAAATTTGCAAAATGGAAATTTGTGCAAGGGATACAAAGGAAAACACAAAGTGGCACCTCAGTCTGTTATTTCTATTCTGGCTTCAGGAGGATACTAATACAGGGGAACTTTGATCAGCCTTCCTCTTTCATACCAGGGACTGGGGAGGTTGAGCAGGTGGGTTATTTCTGTATTTCTGCTTAAAGGATTTTTTTCTTAACTCCCACCCACCCCTTGGATTTCTCTCTCTATTGAATTGGGTCTGAGACAAAGGACCTCATTTCCCTGAGCCCATGGAGCAGAAGTCAAGGAGCACATGAACTTACCAGTTTTGTCCTGGACTCCCAAGATCAATGGCATTCACAGAGCTGAATGTTCCATTTTGGGTTGAGTGTTTCCTAGTACCTCAATCATGTCTTCACTTTAACTCCACTGGGATCCTGAGCCACTCATCCACAGCCAACCTGAAGCCATATCACTCAGACTAAAGACCACCCTTTCCTGAGAACTGAGAGTTAGAGATCAGAGTGAGTTCCACCTGCAGTGGCTCTGTAGGATAAGCACTAGATTAGGAACTACAGGGTTTTTAGAGTGAGTCCACAAGATGCCCCACAGGAGAAAGATGAGGTTTTCTGCTCCCACAAAGATTTATAGCTTAGGAAACTTTATACAAGGTCCCTATGAGTCGTAGCTGTCTGGACAGCATTTAACAAAATAGCAAGGACTGGTAGGATGAGGGGATATGAGTAGTGTTAGAGCAGGGTATGTGTGGACGGTGTTGTTTTTGCTATATGCCGTCAAGTCTGTTCTGACTCATAGTAACCGTGTATATTATTTTCCAGTAGCATCTGATGGATTTGAAATGCTGATTTTGCAGTTCAAATCCACCTCGTGTTCCAGTGCTTATCCCACCTTGCCTATCCAGGACTTCATGTGGAAAATGGGGGAGGGTCTCTGAGACCTCACAGTTGTCAATTTGAAGACCCCAGCATTTCTAACTCACCCTTCTGACCTTGACTCAATTTAAGCACAGGGATTCCTACTCCCTTGAGTTGGCCTGGAAGCAGGCATATATCTTTATGGTTCACATTCCAGCTTTACCTCCCTAGAGGGGATTCAGGATGCTGAATTTCTGCCTAGTCCTGTAAGGGCTCCTTGAGAAGAGTGCAGGAGCAGGGTTCTTGGCAGTCCCTAAAAGGTGGAGAGGCTTCATCACAAGCACTTAAGGCCCTTGCCTAGCCTCCTGGTAGTTGTCCTCCTTCTTTGGAAGTGGGGCTGAGCTGCCTTAGACAATGTCCATTCTGTTCCTGAGGCTGTTCACATTTAAGGTAGAAGTAGACTGAGATCTCTAAAAGTCACGAAAGGGGCAGAACTTTGCAGAACCTCCTCTATTCTAGGTTAAATGAACCCCTCTGTCCATATTCAAGGACCTCACTTGGACTTCCTTCCAGTTTTGGGAATCCAAGTTTCCTTCTAGGATGAAAGAACATAGCCCCTCACACCAAAGCTGTGTTTTTCCTGTGCTCTTCCTAGGTAGAAGCCAGGGAACATCACAACCCGCTAATGGTATTGGGGTGCCCCCTAACGAGCGAAGTGTGATGTGCAGGAGACCTCTGAAGGCTGACACAAGGGGCGGGACACTCTAGACTATTTTGCATTATGGTTGTTGGTCCATCAGTGTTCTTTCTCAGTCTTTAAGTTCTTGTAGTTAAGTGACATCGAGTCGGTTTCGACTCGCAGCTCCCCTGTGAAGGTTTCTGTGGAATTTCTGGTGAGTTTTATGGCCATCCTTGTGGTCCAATTGACCTTGTGGTGATTTGATTTTCCTACAACCCTACATCAGGATATCAAAGCTGAGGTTCATACCTATACAGACCTCAGTGCCAGGCACAGAGCAAGAACCTCACAATGCAAATGTCCTAGATGCAAAAGTTAGGGCTGGCTTCATGGCAATGACTGCCTGGGGTTCAAAGCTTAATCCAGTTCAATAAGTGCAAATTAGACAAAATTCTAGTTAGCAAGGAAACCTAAGTAACATTCCATATTAACCTGATGCCCTCCAGTTGATTGCAACTCAATGTGTTACACAATAGAAATGCTCCATAATGGGGTTTTGTGGGTATAATCATTGCAGAAGCAGATTTCCAGGCCTTTACTCTGCAGTGCAGCAGCGGGGTGCGATGAACTGACAACCTGTAGCTTAACACTGCATATCTAGTTGGTCATATTTCCATGACTATTATCTTTTTTCTTATGCATACCATTAATTCATTTATTATATTCTTATTTCTCTGGCAAAGGAACTCTGGTAGCGTAGTAGTTATGAATCAGGGTTTGAACCTCAAGGTTGGCAGTTCGAAACTACCAGCTATTCCATGGAAGAAAAATGAGGCTTTCTACTTCCATGAAGATTTACAGCCTCGGAAACCCTGTACAGGGTAGCTATGGGTCAGAACCAACTCCACAGCACATAACCACAGCCAACATTTCTCTGGAAATTTTTTTCCACTCCAATAATTGGGCAGAGAGCCATTCTATATCTACTGAAATGCATTTTATAG